CCCTCCCTCCCTCCCTCCCCTCCCTCCCTCCCTCCCTCCCCCGCTGCTTCCCCTCCTCCTCCCCGGGGGAGGGCGAAGGAGGGACGGTCCTCCTCTTCGCTGTTGCCGAGGGACGCTCTGCTCTGGCGGGAAGGCCAGGCGAACCTAGGCCAGGCGCGCGTCGCAGGCGCGATCGCACCCCCGGGCCCTCCACCGCGCTGGGCGAAGAGGTGCAGGAAGGCAGGAGGGGTACGACAAGGGACGAGGAGGACGCGGAGGGGGAGGGAGGGCGGCGACCACGGCGACGAGGTGGAGGACCCCCAAGGAAGAGCAAGAGGACAGAGGGCGGGCGAGGAGGGGCTCGAAGACGGACGAAGATGACGAGGAGGGGGAGGACGACGACCACGCCGACGAGGTGGAGGACCCCCAAGGAAGCGCAATTGATAACAGACGAAGAGGACGAGGAGGGAGAAGACGACGACCACGACGACGAGAAGTTTTCACTATTTGCGGCCTTTTCGACGACCACCACGAAGACGACCACGACGACGACCGCGACAACGAGGACGAGGAGGGGGACAAAATCATGACGGCAAGTGTTTCACTGTTTTCGGCCTTTGCAGCCCCTACTGGACCTCGGGACCGTCAAAAACTATTCACGATGAAAAACTGAGAGCGTTCTGGAATGCTCTGGTACGGATTTGTCCTCGTCCTAGTCCCGCCCGATGGCTTGCCCCTCTTACAACTTCCGCGCTGAGCATTCGGCCGCGGCGCACTCCATTGTGTCATCTCCCCTTGAGATGCCAGGGCCCGCGCACTGCGGGGCCGCGCAAGCGGACCTGGAGCCGATCAGGCCCCCTCCTCCCTCCTCCTCCTCCCTCCTCCTCCTCCTCCTCATCCTCCTCCTCTCCTCCTCCTCCTCCTCCTCCTCCTCCCCTCCTCCCCCTCCACTCTCTCCTCCTCCTCCTCCTCCTCCTCCTCCTCCTCCTCCTCCTCCTCCTCCTCCTCCTCCTCCTCCCTGATTCTCCCTCCTCTCCCGCCTCCCTCTTGGTCCTCCTTCCTCCCTCATGGCACTCTGACGCGCGGCGCCTGGCGCCCGATAAGCGGGACACTGCGGGGCTCTGTGCCGTCGAGACCGGCGCCTATAATAGATTATCCAGCCGTAGCAGGAGCATCCACAATCAGAGTAGAAGCAAATTTCGTGATGAGGCCATGACTCTGCGCCCTTCGCAAAGTCCTGCGGCCTTTTCTGCAACCTCCGCAGCAGGCGATGCTGGCCCCAGAAATGCTCTCCGGCTTGCCGCACCCGCGATTTGACCAGCCGAAAACATGAACGAGGCACTCCACTCGCGTGCTCGCGCCGACGCAACCAGCCGGCCTGGCGGAGGGCCTCCCTGTAAGAAGGAAACGAACCAACCGAAGCCCTGCCCAGCCGGTGCCCTGCGCCCACAACAAGAATTCAGTGCAACGCGGGGGCCGTGTGGACAGCTCGAGGCAAGCGGGGCAACTAACGGAGACGAGCGACGCTGAGCGAGTCTCTGTAATCTTGTGGATGCCACGACAGTGGACACCCTAACAGTCCTATCATCGAATTAAGCATGTGTTTAAAATGTCGGAATAATGTCATGAAGCTGTTTAGATAATGTGTTTGACCATTTTTGAACAGTGATAACACATGTTCTAAACATCTGGAAATGATTTGGCAACGCGCTTCTTCTCCATTGATCGTCCTAACTGTAATCAGCACGACGGGCTCCCGCGAGGGCCTTGTCGTGGGAGATGCGTTCGCCTCTCCCGAGTTCCCCTGCAGACGTGCCAGCGCCGCCCTGTACGAGCTCTCGCCTGTGCATCGAGCAGCCGTGTCCCGAGCCGAACCGACGGCGAGGGCCAGACTGCAGAATTGAATGGCGAACCCGCGAGAGCGTAAGTTTGGGCGCAGCAGACTTAGCCCCTGAGGGGGGCGAGCTCGCGGGGGGGCAAGGTTCTTCTTCATGCGTCTGACCTCTTCCGTGACTGCGTCGATCACGCGACTTCACCACTGGGGTCCCCTCATCAATGATACGAGTCCCCGGACAGCGCACAGTCTCATGTTCCAGTGCTGGGGCGAAGACACGTCAACAACGTCTGCTTCCTTCGAGCAGAGGTCTGCCTGAAAGACATCGGTTTGTTCTCCTGCGAGGCGAACGAGCGCGGTTCTTGGCCGGATTGAGACCGAGTCCTGCGCGAGCAAGCGCGGCGGCCATCTGCCCGACGACCGTCTGCACTGATTCCCGAGATGTGCATGCTTGCCTAACTCCACCGCAACAGCGAGATGATCCACAGAGGGATCCTCCTCCTCCTCCTCCTCCTCCTCCTCCTCCTCCTCCTCCTCCTCCTCCTCCTCCTCCTCCTCCTCCTGAAGGGAGAGACGCATCCGAGGTGAGCTCCTCCAGGGTAAGCCTGGCCTGGAAGTCCCTCGCGCGGTGCCCGCGAGTAACTATACGACATTGAACACATCAGTGGCGATGACCGCGCCCGTACCTGCACGGTTTCCCCTAGGGCCGTAGGCGACCCGAGGAGGAGGAGGTGGAGGCGGGGGAGGAGGAGGAGGAGGAGGAGGAGGAGGAGGAGGAGGAGGAGGAGGAGGATTAGAAGGAAGAGGAGGATTAGGAGGAGGAGGAGGAGGAGGAGGAGGAGGAGGAGGAGGACGGGTCGCCTAAGCCCTTCGGAGAAACCCTCCACCCGCACCCCCCCCCCCCCCCAGCGTCGGCCTCTTGTACGACCACAGCCCCTGTACAGTGCCAGAGGCCCGACGACTGGACGTCCGCCGGCATCGCCAGCAGCCGACGGCCCTTCGCAACATATGCTCGAGGAGCGGGGTCTGGCCGAGGCGCCGAGCTCTGAGCGGAGCAAGGCGAGGCGCTGGGCCGCCCAGTGATCCCCTGCAACGCCTGCGGGGAAGCCCCTGCCCCACGGCAGGGGTCTGCACAGCCGGGCTGAGCCTACACGGTGTTCTTCGTTTTCGTTTCGTTCTCGTTTTCCCTCGTTTTGTCCTCGATTCGCCTTTACCGCAAAACGACATCGAAACGAAAACGGCCCACGAAATCGCCAAAACACCGTTTGGGCCCAGCCCTGCTGCCCAGCTGGTGGCGGGGAGAAGCGGCCTCGAGGCCCGCGAGCACTGCGAGCGTCTGAGCCTGCGCGCTCTGCGTTCCCCCGCGGGCTTCGCCCCCTGCCGGGCCCGCCACCCAGGAGCTCCGCGACCCTCGCCACGCGTCGACCTCCCCAGCGGCCACGAGATTCGCGAAGACGGAGCTGGCAAAGGCCCTCGCCAACGCCGCACCACAAGGAGATGACGACTGAGCCGGCGCTCAGTGACGACAGGATGCGCGGACACCTTACCCCGATGCGCCACACGCACACCCGCAGCGTGCGGACCCGAAGCTCAAAACATGCATGTTGCCAGCGCAGGTCTGGCGCGCGCCGCGTTCGCCAGGGCGTGGGCCAGCGCGTGGAGCCGGCACGCAGCACGTGCATACGGGCGGCTTGGGATGCGGTGCGCGATGCGTTCCAAGACGGGCATGAGATCAGGGCAGCCCAAGGAGGACACGTCTGCTGCCGCGGCCCCGTCCGCCGCCGTACCGGGCGGGCGAGCGCGGCGGCGGCGGCGTGCCTGCGCGCGCGCGCTTCTGCTGCGGCCTGGAGGCGTGGCTGTACGCAGCAGGGTGTTTTTGTTCTGCTGTTTTGGGCAGGCCTCCTTCTGGTTGAGCGCGAGCGGCTCCCTGGGCGGAAGAGGAGCGAGCCCTGCAGGAGTGTTTTTTCTGTTGTCTTGGGCAGGCCTCCTTCTGGTTAAGCGCGAGCGGCTCCCTGGGCCGAAGAGGAGCGAGCCCCTGCAGAGGGGGGTGGGCATGCCGCGCCCGCGTGCCGTGGTGGCTGTGGGAGGGTGATCGACCCGCCCAGGCTTCCCTGGCATCCTTGTCCTTCGGCCCCTCCTCGGCCTCTCTCGTCGGCTGCGCCCCGCTCGCGAGGCGTCGGCGTGGCCTTCCGAGGCCCTTTTGCATCCTTCATCGCGCATGCGTACGAGAAGTCCTGACTGCAGCTGGCCCTCTTCTTGCTGTCTCCGTGGGGGGCAGAGCTCCAAGAAGCTACCCCTACTGCAATTCGAGGAAAAAGAGTGAAACGTGGATAAGCAGAGAGAGACCCGAGACAGCCCGACGACAGCAAGAGGGAGGGCGGCGGCAAGTGTTGTGGATGCCATGCCAATGGACACTCTAACAATCCTATCCTTTAATGAAAAATGTGTTTGAAATGTGTAACGCATGTTCCAAACATGCTTCAAACATGAACGTACATGTTTAAAACATGCTTGACACATCGTCTAGGCATCTGGAAGGTATTTGGCAGCACGCTTCCGCTCCATGCATCGACTTCCACAAGGCAGGTGGCCCTTCGGCCTCTTCTTCCCCTCCTCCACACCCGCGGCCTCGAGGGCCACTTTGGAGGAAGGAGGGATGAGGAGGAGGAGGAGGGAGGAGGGAGGAGGGAGGAGGGAGGAGGAGGAGGAGGAGGAGGAGGAGGAGGAAGAGGAGGAGGGAGGAGGAGGAGGAGGAGGAGGAGGAGGAGGAGGAGGACGAGAAGGAGGAGGAGGAGGAGGAAGAGGAGGAGGGAGGAGGGAGGAGGAGGAGGAGGAGGAGGAGGAGGAGGAGGACGACGAGAAGGAGGAGGAGGAGGCGGGCATGCCGATGGCACGGGATGGCCTGCCTGCGCAGGCGGGGCGGCGACCCTCCGGCCCTCGGCCGCGGGGTGCCGCGACTGCCGTCGCATCGCCACCGAGCCGGCCCCCGACCCTCGGGCACGCGCCGATGCCCACGGGATGCCCCGGCGCCCCGCTGCGACGGTGCGCCCGCGGCGGCTGCGCTGCACAGGGCGCCCGCGAGGGCCAGCGAGGCAAAGAGCTGCGTGAATGGCTTCGCGAGCCCCCGCCCGCGGTGCTGCGAGGGCGCACCGCCGGACGACGTTGGCCGCGGCGACCGATGGTGCCTTCCATTGTCGGATCTGGGCACGCGAGTGTTTGCTTTTTCGGCGTTTCGACGTTTCGACACTGGGCGGAGTGGGGGGGGGAGGCGAGGGGTCTGGCTCCGAACCTCTGCTTCATGTGACTGTTTGCATCCGTGCGTCCTGTGGGG